GGTCCATGGGCACCATTTTGCCCATTTCTGGTTTAGAATAATTTTTTTTAAAATGTTGGTTGTCATTTCAGGATTTCAAATAATCCCAGTCATGACTTTTGACATCATATCCTAAACCAGGGCTATTAAGGAACTAGTAAAATCCTGAAAAGTAAAAATATATGTTTAAACTTCTGTGTATGTTTGTGAAAATAGTAAGTCTGGAGGATAAGGAGGAGGAGGAGGAGGAGGAGGAGGAGGAGGAGGAGGAGGAGGAGGCTGGAGGAGAACAACAACAACAAAAACAACGCTTTATTTATATCCCGTCCCCTCTCCCCAAGGGACTTGGAGCAGCTCATATGAATCAACTCATATGAAATGGAGTGCAGGAAAAACAAATACAATGGGTCCTAGAGGTCAAGCCCAACCTCTACCTAGAGGACAAAATGGCTTGATTGAGACTATCATACTTTGGATATACCATGAGATGATATGACTCGTTACGAAGGACAAAAATATTCAGCAAAGTAGAAATCAGTCAAAAAAAGAAAGCTTCACAGTTCAACTAGTCAAAGGAGACATAGCTCTTTCAAGATCTGAGCTGGGCTGCTGATGACTGGAGCTCTTAGAAGTCTCTTATTCATGGGTTTACCCTAAGTTGAAGTAGACATGGTGGCAAATAGCAGCAACAAAAGAATGGAGGTTGAGTAAGTAAACACAAAGATAGCATTTTGTGACTTGGAAAACAGTGTGTTGTAATGATTAGATGAACTGATGTGAGCCAGAGATATTGGAACCTGGCCTGCAGACTCCTCTCTTTAGCCTCATTCCTTATATGGATTATATTACAAGATTTCAGGCTTGAACAAAAGCTCCATGTGTGCAACACTGCAAAAAGAGGTCCCCTCGCTACCGGTATCTGCTCTCTGTATTTAAGCTAAAGGGGTCGTGAAATACATGTGTCATCGGAACCTTGTTACGTAGCTGTGCATGGCTTGTTTGTTTGCCTTCATAACAGGTGTGCATCTCCACTTCCTAAACCCTATAAACTCATTTGAATATTGTTATGAAACCAGATATGACTAAATGTTTGGAAAACATGCTAAACAAGGATGCAGGGCAGCACTTTAGGGGCATGAGCACCAATTTTGCATGATTTTGGATTTCTAGTGGGACTGTACACAGAAAAATAGATGCTTTGGGATACAAGTGGTTCATTGGATTGCCCAGTTTTCATTCCTTGCAGATATACTTCATTGAATGCTAAAGCAGGGCCAGTGGTTTATGTATTTAGTGACAGAGAATGCAGCCTTGGCAATTATTGTGGAACCATAGTGCTGTAAATGTCTGTTTTGAATGGGTCACACATACGTGTGTGTATGTATATGTCTGTATGTATCTCTATTTACCATCTATCTCACAATGCTCTGAGAAGGAGTGATAATACATCCTTCAACTTTAGGAGAATGTTATGGCCATGCCCTGAATTCAGCAGTAAACCGTTTGGATGGAATATCTGGAACCTGGTGACTGCATCTATTTTCAAAAGCAGGGTTGCCACTTTCTTCTCTGGCAGAGCTTCTATTTGTTTTTTAAACAGCTCTGTGACATGCAGCAACTGAATGAAGTAATTTCAGTGTAGAGAGAGGCAGTGATGGGGAAAAGCTTCCCCAGATGAATTCTTGCCTATCATGCTGGTTATTAATAGCCCGGAAGGCCTGCCAGGGGAATGAAAAGTGTCAAACCACTCTGAAACACCAACATTTTATTTTTCAGAATCTAATTTAAGTATACACACACAAATGTACTCACACATACACATACTTAAATAGACACTTACACTGTATATCCCCTATTTGAGGATAATTTTCAATACAAGACTAGCTTGGTGGATTTTTAAAATTAAAATCTCTTTGTTTAATATTCAGTATATAATGAGGAGGGCTACGTTCTTTTCCATATCCACTGGCCACTATACATATATACACATTTCTAGTTTTTGCCAGATTATATTTTTAAAAACTTACAGCAGGACTGGAAAAAAAGTTGCACTTTAATAATAATAATAATAATAATAATAATAATAATAATAATAATAATTTTATTTCTTACCCGCCTCTTCTCATAGCTCAAGACAGGTTACAACATTGCTAAAACACATAATCAAAACACATAATCATTTTAACATTAACATTAGGAAAACCTTTTGATGGTAAGAGCTGTTTGAAAGTGAAATATGCTACCTCAGAGCGTACCGCAATCTCCTTCTTTGAAGATTTTTGAACAGAATCAGAATAGTCATCTGTTGGGAGTGCTTTGATTGTGTGGCAGAGAGTTGGACTGGATGACTCTTGGAATTTCTTCTAACTGGATGATTGAATAATTCTATGATTCTCATATGTTGTAGCTTGATTAGTTGAAGAAGGAGTAGACAACTCTCCTGAGAGCCAATGTGAAGTATTGCTTATACCAAACTCTGCTTCTCCAGGTGTTTTGGACTTCAAATCCCAGAAATCCCAGCCACTTTACCAGGAATTGTGGAAGCTAAAGGCCAAAACATCTGGAGAAGCACAATTTGAGAATTGTGGCTTACATTGTTAGAACTACCCCTCCCCCCCCCGTCAGAAACAACTCGAGAAACTGCAAGTCTCTTCCGGTGTGAGATAATTGGCTGTCTGCAGGGACGTTGTCCAGGGAACGCCTGGATGTGTTACCATTCTGTGGGAGGCTTCTCTCATGTTCCATCAGAGCTGTATAATTGAAAGAGTGCCTTGTCCTTTGTCTACCTAATCAATCTCATAGTTGTGAGGATAAAGTGGGGAGGAAGAGTTCGAGCTGTATGGCCATGTTCTAGACGCATTCTCTCCTGACATTTTACCTGCATCTATGGCAGGCATCCTCAGAGGTTGTGAGATTTGTTGGAAACTAGGAAAATTGGGTTAACGCCTTGTAGCTTCCAGGTGTACCTCCCTAGGGCCCGGTATCTATAGGAGATTTTCCTGGGTGGATCGAGGTGACTACTGATGGAGAAAAGGTATGAGGCGGTCCCTAAGATATAAAGGTCCTTGGTCATTTTGAGCTCTAAATGTCAGGATCAGTATCTTGTAAGAGATCCAATGTTCTATTGGTAGCCAATGCAGTTGTTGAAGAATCGGTGTAATATGGGATCTTATAGATGATCCCGCTAGCAGCCTGGCCGCTGCATTTTGGACCATCCGAATCTTCTGGGTTGTTGACTTCGGAAGGCCGGCATATAAGGCGTTGCAATTGTCAAGCCTCGTGGTGACTGTTGCGTGGATTACTGTTGCCAATGATTCTACCGAAAGGTAGGATGCCAATTTCCTTGCCTGGCAAAGATGAAAAGAGGCCTGCTTACTTATGGCAGTGATCTGGGCCTCCATCGTCAGCGATGAGTCCAACACAACCCCAAGGCTTTTAACTGTGGCAGACGGTATCAGAGCTTCCCCATCGAAATCAGGCAGAGACTGGATTAATTCTGGCAGCTGGCCGGGCCAGAGTATCTCAGTTTTTGCAGGATTCACTTTTAGTCTGCTCGCTCGCAGCCAACTCATCACTGCTTCCAAACACAGCCTAAAGTTCTCAGGAATCGCGGTTGTCCCAGGTTCGAGACACAAGAGTAGCTGGGTATCATCTGCATACTGGTAACACTCTATGCCAAAGCTCCGCACCAGTCCAGCAAGTGTCCGGACGTAGATGTTAAATAACAGGGGCGAGAGGATAGCACCCTGGGGAACTCCACAGCAAAGGCAGGAGCTCTCAGAGCTTTGGCCTAACCACTCCACCCTCTGTCTCCAGTCCCGGAGGAACGAATTGAACCATTTCAGGGCTAAACATTGTACACCAGATATAGCCAATCAATGAATCAACAAGTCATGGTCCATGGTGTCGAATGCAGCTGTGAGGTCCAAGAGTACCAATAGCGCTGATCCGCCTCGGTCTAACTGACGATGAATTTCATCAGTAATCGCTACCAAGACAGTCTCTGTCCCATGACCTGAACGAAAGCCTGATTGAAAGGGGTCCAAACCCGCAGTCTCATCTAAGAATTGCTGTAGCTGCTGTGCCACTGTCTGTTCAATCACCTTGCCCAAAAATGAAAGTCGAATAGGTTCATTATTATCACAAACCTCACAACCTCTGAGGATGCAGGCAAAATGTCAGGAGAGAATACTTCTAGAACATGGCCATACAGCCTGAAAAATCTACAACAACCCAGAACTGTATATGCTGCTTTGATTTTATTGGATGAAAGGAAAGATAAAAACGTGAATATATATGAACAATGTATATAAATACATATTTAATTTAAATATATGAATAAAAGTAGAAATATAGAAAAGCAATGGCCGGTCAGGTGTTATTTAAGCTTCCATCTCCCATCAGCTCTAGCCAGCATAGCCAAAGGGGTGGGATTATGGAAAGTGTCATTCAAAACCATCAGGAGAGCCACAGGTTGCTAAAACTTGCTGTAAAATGGCTAAATCAGGCACGGGCAGACTTCAGCCCTGCAGGTGTTTCGAACTTCAACTCTCAGAAATCCTAGCCAGCTTACTGGCTGTTAGGAATTGTGGGAGTTGAAGTCCAAAATGCTCAGAGGACCAAAGTTTGCCCATGCCTGGGCTAAATCAACCTGGATGCAACCCTTAGTGACAAGTTTTCTTTGTTAGAGGCATGAAATGGAATATATTTTACAACTCTGGTTTCGTACTTTTTAGCGCTTGTGCTTTTCATAACACCTTGGCTCCACAGGGACAGCCTCTCTGATGACCTTATTTTCTTTTGTCTTAATTTTGACGTGAAAAGGACATCTTCTTCCATTAATCCCATTGACGTGTCACCTTTATAGAAAGTGGTATGGAGTGGGTCTGACCCTAGACAGAAACAAATGACCAGATCACTTGTGCTCCATAGTGCCCTAAGCAAAGCGTTCCAGCCACAGAAAGAAAAAAAATGTATATTCTTCATTTTATTGACCCCCATGATATATGATGGAAAGAAGAAAGGAGCTGTCTCTTTAACAAGTGAAGTTTTCTAGATTAAAGGCGGTTCTCAAAGCAGACTTCTAGATAAAAGTGAGGTTTGAAGAGGTGGAATCTATGATTGTTCTAGAAGATGGCAGCAGCTATGATGGTAAGTAGCACAGATTTCTAGTTCCACTTCTCTCTTCCCTCCAGGCTATAAATTGCAACTGTGGGCTGCTGTGTCCCTGAAATAGAGCTCCGTCACTCTCAAAACTCCTTGTTCAAGGAAGAGGCCTTATTGGCCTTGATAGCAGATAGAAAAGTGTTTGAAGCAGGAGGGGAGGAAACTAGGCTGGATGGCTGTATCTTGAATTCTCAACATTTTTGACAAAATCGGTTTCTTTCTCATGGCTGTAGTTTTATGCACACTTACCAGAGAGTTAAGTTCTACTGGATTAAGGAGAACATATTACTAATAAAGCATATTGTATTTAGTTGCAAATTGGAAGTTTTTATGAAGACATTTGGGCTGTCCAAATACTTATCTCCAGAGCATACTTGGAAAATTTGCCTTTTTGGACTACAATTCTCAAATTTCTGGGAGAAGTAGTTAAAAAAAATTAGCACTTTCAAGTTTTGTGTACTGAGCAGCTGATGGGGGGAGAGGCCTTCTATGTGTTGTCGAAGGCTTTCATGGCCAAAATCACTGGGTTACTGTGAGTTTTCCAGGCTGTATGGCCATGTTCCAGAAGCATTCTCTCCTGATGTTTAGTCCACATCTATGGCAGGCATCCTCTGAGGTTGTGAGGTCTGTTGGAAACTAGGCAAGTGAGATATATAAACCTCACTTGCCTTGTTTCCAACAGACCTCACAACCTCTGAGGTTGCCTTCCATAGATGTGGGTGAAGCATCTGGAACATGGCCATACAGTCTGGTAAACTCATAACAACTCATGCCTTCTATTCATCAAATGCATGGGAGGTCCACCTATACCTCAGAATACTTTATCAGAAACTCTCCTGTTCCTTTAACACTGGCAGGAGAGCCAATTAGTTGGAGAAGCTCTACTCAACAATCATTGTATGTTAGTGATGAGGAAGGGTCACTTAAAGGAACAATCTCCTACTTCTTGTACAGCTGTTAAAGGTATTCTCTTGCCATCATGTGAGGTGAAGGTAACTCATACTTGGTTTTGATTTGATCTTTGTGATATCCTGGCTTTGGTTTATTAGGACAGTAAGAAACTGTTGAGGGGTGGGGGGAGAATGAAGTGATGAAGTAGAAACTCATTGGTGGAATGTTTGAGGAAATTTGCATGGAACTGCTTGTGAATGAAAAGAGTTTGAATGGCGTTCATTCAGCCTGAGGGCCCTTCCACACAGCCCTATATCCCAGAACATCAAGGCAGAAAATCCCACATTATCTAAGTGTGGACTCAGATGACCCAGTTCAAAGCAGGTATTGTGGGATTTTCTGCCTTGATACTCTGAGATATAGGGCTGTGTGGAAGGGTCCTGGGACTTGACAAGAAGGAAAAAGACGTTTGGGAGGGGTTTGAATTAGGATTGGAGTGGGAAAAAAGAGTTTGAGCTGAGTGATTGCTAAAGGTCTGATTTAGCCTGAAAGGAGAGAGTGTTGTGTTCTAAATGTTATAAACTAGCCATCCCCTGCCATGCATTGCTGTGGCCCAGTCTGTGTATATGTGTTTTGTGTGTGTATATATTTGTGTATATGTGTATATATGTGTGTTTGCATTTATATATGTGGTTTTACACATGCATTGTATTATTATTTTTTGCTTTTTAACTCTCCTTCGCTGTGTTTTTCAATGTGGTCACTCGTTGGCCTGAAAGGTGTGTTGTATCCAAATTTGGTGTCAATTCGTCCAGTGGTTTTTGAGTTATGTTAATCCCACAAATGAACATTACATTTTTATTTATATAGATAATGCACTCTTTTCTGCTTAACCTTTGTAAATAAACATTGGATTCTGTTTTCATACCCGTTTGGCCTCTGGAATTACTATCATTATGAGATCTTGGTTTCAGACAAGGTGTCTGTTCAGCATTGAAAGTGAAAGGACAGTGCCCTGTTGAGAATAAAAGTAGTATAAATCCCATAGGAACCTTGAGAGCCTTTATATTGACCCTGCAGCTGGTGTCACACAAGGAGGATAGAAGAGATTCCTTACCTGTGTTAAAGGAAAGCTCTCACATTGAGTGTTTACATAAACAGCAGGAAGGCATCACATTTGGTAGGGTTGGTGTAAAAAATTGGTCCCAGAGGCAGAAATATCATGCGAAAAATAAGCAACCCCCTTCCCCAACACACACTTGACATGTTTTAGCAAACTTGAATCCAAAACTCAAAATGAAGCAATTTGTCAGGTAAATCTTACCCAAGGGGAGAAAAAAAAAGAGGAAGCAGGGAGTAACCTTCTAGGGGGTTTCTTCCAAAATGCATCCAGCCTCTACTATTCTGAATATTTCCATTTTGGTGGCCCAACTTGCAGATCAAGGCTTCTTTATTATATCAAGGTTATTTGGAAAGGTAGAGCTGACCTCCTTTTATATCTTCTCTGTTTTGCTGTTTGCACATACTCAGAAAGGGATTCCGGAAGCAGCTGGCATTTATCTTGCCTGTTATAGGCCAGCAGGTATATAACTACAGTAAGATTGTTACAGTAGAATCCTAGGAGTTGTAGTTTTGCAAGGTTTTTAACCTTATCTGTCAAAGAGTGCTGGTGCCTCTCCAAACTACAACTCCCAAAATTGAGCCATGGCTCTTAAAGTGGTGTTAAGCTGCATTTCTACAGTGTACATGCACTCCGTGTGTCATCTGAGCAGTAGAAAGTACGTTATTTTTGCTCTGAGATGGCCCATGAAATGACAAGGGCACCCCTAATTTCGGTGGGGTGGCAGAACTGTCTGTTTCCTCACAGTTCATAATAAATATGTGTCAAACAGAGCTGGTCAAAGATATTTTGTTGCATAAGGTAGAGGAGCAAATGGCAACTCACCCCAAATTGAAGCTCATGGCACCCAAACCATCCAGCATTTTCACATTATGCAATTATACCAGTGTGATTCCACTTTCTCTGCCGTTGGTAACATCCTGTGCAATTCTGGGGATTGTAGTTTGGCCAAAGGTGTTAGAACTCTCTGGCTAAAAAATTCTAAATGCTCCTCAAGTGCATAGGATGCAGCCATGGCAATTAAAGAGGAATCATAGTGCTATTATTGTGTATATGAAAGGTCCTTCAGTTATTTTGGCACAGTAGAAGGACACTCAGCCTACATTTCTCATCTCGGACATTAAATGCAGAAAACTGTAATTATTAAATGTAACTATTACTTGCTACTCTTCCATGGACATTCTATTTTTTATATTGATAGGGCTGGCTCTGATGATAAGGGAGAGAAAGTAGCTTTGGCATTTGGTGCTTGATCCTTCTGACTTTTCAGCAGGCGAGTGGCCTTACTATCTCTTTCCTGTCCCCTGGAGCCAGCTGAAGGCACCAGCTGCAGACAGCTCGACCTGTTCCATGGGTGCTTGACCCTTTGCCACAGAGGCTGCAAACTGCTTAATTGGGCCCTGAGCCCTTCAAGCTGGTCGCCCCCAGGGCCCCAGCAAGCAGAGAAAAGCTCCTTTACTTTGGCAAAGCTGCTTTGTGGGAGATCACTTACTTTCCCCATTCCTGGGAACAAATTCATAGATATCTAACATGAATTGTTTAGTTTTTGCAACATGTACAGAATGAAACCATTTTCAGAGAGCGGGAGCTAATGGTGAGAAAATGATACAATCTTGACCTTCCCAGTAGTTTGAGGCAAAAGCAAACTGCTGCAGCTCATCTGTTCTTCCTCATTCATAACTTACTAATTTTAATATAAACAATTCAGAATCCAAGTAATAAACGTTCAGGGAAAAAGGGAGATAGGGTGGAATACAAATAAAGGGTTTTTTATTATTCTTTAAAGAATGAAAATCAATCTTTGTATTTCTTAAGAGCTAAAGTACAATACTAAAAACTATCTAACTGCAAAACAAAGTCATAAAAGACCTCTAACCCACCTCAAATCAAACTATAATAAAATGGGGGAAATATTTTGGGTGGCAATGTTATTCTACCATTACAGATTCAACTAGATAGTCCTGTCAAAATTACTAGTAACCATTACATTATTTAATTTCTTATTACTCAAAAAGTTCTCCCATCCATCATTTGGTTTGTTCTTTGGCAGTTTGGCCTAATTCAGGCCTGTACGGCATATGGCCCATGGGCCACATGTGGAAGGGGTCGACCCTTCCCCTGCCTGCCTGACCAGGAAAGCAGGCAGGAAGGAAGAGAGAGAAGAGTAGTCCACAGAAGTTTTTAAAAATGTTGAGTGGTGCAGGCCTGGCCTAACTCAACAGCCTGAACAACCCATTCTTCTATTGGCAGCGCTCCGTTTGGTTTGCAAGTTTGAGACATCAATGTTTTTGCTACTGTAATCATATATGAAAGAAGTATAGTTGTCCCTCCATATTTGCAGTTAAATTTTTGTGGACCTAATTATTTTGCTGTCATCTCCAGTGCTACACTATGGCATTTTTATAGAAACATTGATAAGAAGAGTGTCCATTTTGAGCTGTGTTCAGTTAAGTCAGGCTTAATTCATTCTCAAATCTTTGGTCGCTGGGAGAAAATTAAGCTGGTGGAGTCGCTGGGCCTGAACCATGTTTCCGTTCACACATCCAGGTAATATAGAGCTGGAACAGGGAGTGAGGTGAGTGGGCCTCCAGTGTGGACAGAAGGAACGGGGCAAGTGAAGTGAAGGAGAAGAGAGCCAAGGCAGGCATGTAGACTGGCTGCTCACTTTCCTCTTCTGGGGGCATATTTTGAGTAATTTTTTATATTTTACCACAGTTCATTTTACACCTGCAACATGCCCCAAATACTGTAATTTTTCTTCCATTGAGTCCAATAGATTTTGTGTCATTATCACTGACTTAAGCTTTGAATTTATACTGTCCTTTTTAAAAACCCTCACTCCATGGATTTTGTTATCAGATCTTTCTCAATAAAGCCTCCCAAGACCAATAAACAGCAAAAGGGGGAAAACATTGTGTGTTATGGTTTTCATCTGTGAATTGCTTGAGAATTGGGCTTTGTTTATTCATTGACTAATTTTAGCCTACGCAGTGACTTCTAGCCTGGGACAAACCTGCAAGAGGTGACTTTAATGCCTGTTGTCATAATGTACAATCTGTTCATTCAAATGTCAGGTAAGCACACACGAAGAGGAGCAGAAGCACAAGGCCACAAGAGGAGAGGTGGTTGTGGAGCACATCACCAAGCACCCTCTGCAAAACAGGTATGAGCTGAGCAGCAAAAGAGTTGGACAATGACCGGCAGCAATGCCATGTTAACAATTTCTGTTGTAAAATTGCCATTGTAGAATAATACTGCAGCTTTCTTTTCTTAATGGCTATACATCCCTTTTACTTGAAAGAACATGGTTGATTTAATTTAGAAATATGTGCTGTGATACCAGTGGCATTTATTGCCATAGGCTTTGCTGCCATTTTTTTTTCAGTCACAACAGACCACATGGCTGCCGAAAATGACTGCTTTTGGTTTCTTTCGGCTACATGTGGAGTGTGGAGAGGCAGGTGCATGCATGGGGTTTCCCTGTGAGCCCTGTTTGTTGAGCCAATCAGAACAGAAAAAAGCCATGATGTGTCTTTTAGCCAAGCTGGGCTTCCATTTTCTTTTGCAAGCAGGCTTCTGAGAGAGAGAGAGAGATCAGTGATCTAAATTCTCAGTGCTGCTTGCAGCTCTGCCTAGCTTGGCTTGCTTTTAAAGGAGAACATTTTAAGAATGAGCCAAGGGGTGCTGTGTAGCGTTTTGATTGTTTTGATAGGTTTTATTGGGTTCATGTTATTTTAACTCTTTTGTATTTAATAATTGTATATTTACTTTTAGATTTTAAATTTTAAATTGTATTGTTTTACTATTGTGAAGTTTTTTTTAAGTCTCATTCAGGAGCAGAATGTGAGGTGATAATGATGATGATAATACTACTACTACAAATAATAACAACAACAAAAAACTGGACCTATTGAACAACAAAGGACAATGCAAAAAAAAAAACCCAAACAAAACCCCGGGCCTAATATAATAATAACAATAATAATAAAACTTTATTTACACCTCACTACCATCTCCCCAAGGGACTCAGTGTGGCTTACATAAGGCCAAGCCCACAATACAACAATAATAAAGCAATAGCAACAAACAATACAAAACAGTTAAAATATAACTCATAAGCAAAAATAAAAATAAGCAATACAGTAACACAACAAGCATTTAAAAACCTATGGCTGGGCCAAATGTAAAATTAAAATTTAAAAATAATGCTGGGCATGAGCAAGGTAGGAGATAACTGGGATAGAAATTTCGGAGGGGATAGGGCGTGCAATTTAGCCTAATGCAATTTAGATTAGGATAGATGTGCATGAGCAATATTTTCTAGCCATAAGGGATAATGGTTAGCTATGTGACACTTGTAGAGTATTACGCTATTGTTATATCCACCAATCTCCCCAGTGTGAAAATTGTAATCATGGCTTGTGGTTTAATTCTTCATTCCATTCCTCCCTGAAGGTGGGCCCTATGGTTCTTCAAAAATGACAAGAGTAAGACCTGGCAGGACAACTTGCGTCTTGTCACCAAATTTGACACTGTAGAAGACTTTTGGGCGTGAGTACATTCCACTTTGGATCCTTACTGAAACAGTGAAATCTTGTCACTGAGCCATTTTTAGTGGACAGACTCAGATAAAAGACTGCCTGTGTTTCTCAGAAGGAGGGACAGGAGGCCTCGAAGCTGCTTTTCTTGAAATGTCTAATTCTCAAATAAGAATGCCATTAATATCATCTTGCCAAAGTTTTCAATTGGGATCAATTTAATACTAGTGTATTTTATTGATGCAGGGTTGGTTTGTGCATTTTTCTAAGATAAACTTAAATAACTGTAGACTTGCAAGCCATCTTTTTGAACACATGAAGTTTTCCAGTCAAAAAGTCTCTGCTATATAATAGAATTCAGAAACCTCTCCCTTAATGTGACGGTCTGGATGAGTGCAAACAAATTGAAATTGAACTTAGGCAGAGACTCAACGTCAGACAAAGCTATTTTCCAATAGAGGCTACAGCACACATTCTTGAGCATGGTACATTTGCAAGGCAACATTTCTTTTGCATTTAAATGCATCCCAGCATATATCTTTGCAGCAGGTAGTACAGTATGTTTCAAATCCGCCTACTGAATTACTGACATACCTGTTTCCTTCCTTTGAGGTGTCAGGCTGTATAGCCATATCCAGTTGGCTAGCAAATTGACTTCTGGCTGTGACTACTCTCTTTTCAAGGTAAGACCTGTCCTACATGAGGCAGCTGAGTGGTTTTTTCCATACTGCTTTTGGAAGGTAGATGATCCTCCTACGACACTAATGCTAAAATCCCCATCGTAATCTTGGTATATATTTTATCACCCCATTCCCATTTTGTTACACACTATGAATTAGTTTCCTGAGGGAAGGTGAGTAACAAAGATTTACTTGGACTGCAGTGAATTTCTCATTGTCTGTACTTTCCCGTAAGCCTCAAGGCTCTGAACAGCTTACTGGGAATCTGGTTTATTTCTGAAAGAAAAAGAATACTCTGTAGCATCACATAACATAAGAGAATGAGTAACTCACATATAATGAAGCGGCATGCATTTCTTGTCATTTTGCTTTTTTCTGGACAGGATGGTATTGAACCTATGTGGGAAGATAACTGGAACAAATGTGGTGGTCGTTGGCTTATCACATTAGCCAAACAGCAGCGGCATACAGAGCTTGACCGATTCTGGTTGGAGACTGTAAGTAAGCGGAATGCTGTTGTATATGTGTTTTTCTTCATTCTGAAGTGTGGTATTGGCCTGGATTATGACATGGTGTCTGACCTGGATTTGAGGTTTACCTCTCTTAGGGAAGTAAGGATGCCCTCCAAGTTCTCTCCTCTTCAGCAGCTGAAGCTATGGTAGTATATTAAGAGTGATGTGCACCACATGACATAGGACAAAGGGAAGAGGAATATCCTGAGGTGGGCAAAATTGCTTTTAAAAACAAATCCCAGTATCTCACAGCCATTGGCCCTCCTGGCTAATAATATTTCCAGAAACATTTTGTTAGACTATGTTCATAAGCCTAATAGGTATTTCTCCTTCCCTCACTTCCTTATCAAGTATCTGCTAGACTTAAGGTAAGCTACTCAATTTGGTCCTAGTTCATATGGTGTGGTTCTTCATTACAGATAAGAAAACTTCCAGGGAAATGTTTTATAGCCATAGTGCATCATGCAAGTATGAACATATGTAAACTTCCATGTGAACTTTACAGCCTTTCTTCCTGTCACTTTTTCCAGTTGCTGTGTCTGATTGGAGAAATGTTCAGCGACTACAGCGATGACGTCTGTGGGGCAGTCATCAATATACGCACCAAAGGAGACAAGATTGCTATCTGGACCCGGGAGGCAGAGAATCGGGATGCAGTCATTCATATTGGGTACCTGACATTGCCTTTTGTTATGAGATATTTAGCAATATGTAATAAATCTAATTTCAACTTTCTGTAAGGTAGAACATGTACGGAACACGTAACAAGTAAAGTAAAGTGGGATTCCATGGTTTTCTTTGACGTGCTTATATATGAAAAGTACCAGGTACATGTGGCATGTTTTTATGGAAGTTTTCTGAAACTGTGGTTGGAATGGCAGGTTAAGTATAATAGTGATTGATGCAGAGAGGAGACAAGCTGAGATGGAACACACATAGACACAAAACAACATGCATGTGCTCTCTTTCAGGCGTATATACAAGGAACGTCTGGGCTTATCTTCAAAAGTGGTGATTGGTTACCAGGCCCATGCAGACACAGCCACCAAGAGTGGGTCCCTCATGAAGAACAAGTTTGTGGTGTGAAGCAACCAGCTTGGAGCTTTACTATTGGAAAGATCTGCCATTACAGGATGGTTGGAGCTGGTTGTAATAGAAATGACATTTATATCTGTCAGAATTAAATTGTTGCAACACAGTCTTCTGTCTCTGTGGTCTGAATTGGAGTTTTGGGGGAAAGTGGGAACTCCTTTGTTGCTGGACAACAGATTGAGCATCCTGACATGTATTTCTCTCTTCACTGTGGCACTCATCATTGCACCACAGTTAGTTTACTTTGTGGCTTCCCTAGTCTTAAGGGCAAGTGGTCAGGAACAGGAAACTTGTGATCTTTCAGCTGTTTTGAAGTGGTCACCGTCTTTCACCATTGGCTATGCCCCCAGTGGTGCAGTGGGTTAAAGTGCTGAGCTGCTGAACTTGCTGACCGAAAGGTCGCAGGTTCGAATCCAGGGAGCGGCATGAGCTCCAGCTGTTAGCCCCAGCTTCTGCCAACCTAGCAGTTCGACAGCATGCAAATGTGAGTAGATCAATAGTTACTTCTCTGGCAGGAAGGTAACAGTGCTCCATGAAGTCATGCTGGCCACATGACCTTGGAGGTGTCTATGGACAATTCTGGCTCTTCAACTTAGAAATGGAGATAAGCACCAAACCCCCGAGTTGGGCACGACTGAACTTAATGTCAGGGGAAAACCTTTACCTTACCTTTGCCTTTACTATGCCATATAGGGCAGATAGTAGTTGCAGTTCAGCAACATCTGAAAGGCCAAAAGTCATCCATTTAGAGATAAGTATACAGTGGTGAGGAAAAGTGTATGATCCTAAAATGTTATTAGATCTGCATCTGACTCCATAAACCTAGATGTAAAGCAATACATAACCTGTTTAAACAACATGAAATGTATTTTCAACTGTTTCAGCGGTCAATATCCATTATTTATTTATTTTTTACTATATTTATATAGTAATATATAAATATAGTAAATATCCATGTGTGGAAAAGTATGGGGCTTTAGATTTAGTGTGTGGTGGCACACTCTTAAGCAGCAATGACTTTAAGGAAGCACTCTTGTAACTGTTGGTCAATCCCTCACATCTGAATTTTGACCCTCTGTCCTTATAGAATAGTTTTAACTCAGTAACCTTTGAGGACTTGTTTTCATGAGCAGATTCCTGTTTCTGTTGAATCATTTTGATGGAGTTTAAAATCAGACTTTGAATAGACCCTTGAAACACAGGATTTATTCTTCTACGCCATTGCTGTAGATCTACTTGTGTTTTTGGGATCACTGTTGTGCTGCATTTAGTTCACCACACTTGATTATTGTGATGAGGGACTCTTTGAACTCAGTGTTTTTCACTAAACATGGTATGGTATATCCCATAGAGGCAAAAAGAAAAACCCCTCTAGCTCTGACTCAGTCCAAAAACCTTGGAAATAATAAATGTTATGTTTAGCTAACGTCAGATGGGAAGAAATGTTACTTTCAGAGAATTGGCTTCCCCAAATGAACAGAATTGTTCAGTCTTTTCATGGTTGTTGAATCACAATACTCATTACAGAAGTCTGAACATCTTTCTGTATTACTCTGGGGTACGGTATGGCTTCCTAGGTAGTGAACTGATTTGTTCTTGGAAAGATTTTTGTAGGAAAACATCAGGTTGAAGACAAGTCACAGAGGTGTATTCAATTTGGCCCAAAAGGGATGCAAGTACAAGCAGATGCTTCAAAGTGTACAAGCCTAAAACATACAGAGAAAGCAAGATGTCTTATACAGTTTGAAAGCTATTCAAAACTCATGTTCCCTTCACTGATTGGCTGAGAGAGGGGCCTGTATGGATCCACACTTTGATTTGTTGAGAGTGCTGCTGATGTTGCTGTTTCATAGAGTTGGGTGACCACATGGGCCATCTAATCCAACCCCCTGCCATACAGGAAAAGCACAAAGTACCACTGATAGATGGCCAGGCAGCCTCTGTTTAAAAGCCTTCAGACAGGTATTCCTTTTTGCAGGGAAATGACAGCTCGGGATCGGACGGCCAGTGAGCCAATCAGTTGAAGGAATGTCCCCTATGAGGAGGTGTCATTTATAAAGAGAATGCTAAAGAAATGATGCGTTCCAAATTTGACAAAGATAGGAGCTTTTGCAGATAAAGGCATGAGGTTTCTAAAGCAGAAGGTGATGATTCTGGGCAATCAAAGGCTGGGCTGTCAAATAAAGAGGTTGACAAATGTACATACTCTGAACTTCTGTTTCCTCTGTCAATCTCTCAGCCGCAAGTGAACCATTAGCTAGACAAATAATCCAGGGCTTATTTGGCCTGGCCAGGAAGCTACCTATCACTGGATATATGAACAATGGATTTTTGATGATTGCCTGGCTAGGAAACAGCCAGAGGGATTTGCCCAACCATCTTGCCATCACAGAAATACCTCAGCAGGGTTATGAAGAGGAGACTGTTTCTGGGATATATCTTGTTACATTTTATAAAGAAGTTTATGCATACATATAAAAGAAATAGATACAGTATACTGAGAGATACAAGTTACATAGACAGTTAAAGAAAACACAGATATAATTTATTAAAGGATTAGAATGTCTTTTAGGAGGGGTGAAGTTGCCGCCAGTCCGTTCTTGATCTCTGATGCTTCAAAATAACAACAGTTTGAAAAAGTATTGTAAAGTTAATTTTAAAATAATACATTTATTAAGAATCCCTTGGCAAACTATATATCCTCTTGGGGGGTGTCATTGCGGTTCGACAACGACACCTGTTTCTACACAACCATATGATGAAAACAAACCTCTCAAGCTTGGTCCTTTTATAGGATGTGGTCTCCAAAATGCACACCAACAGACCTGTCACCATATATTCTTAATTTGCAACTATCCTTAATTTATGTAGTCATTATTTGGCTAATTTACTCATTGTTTTATTTTGTAAGAAGGATGTCAAATTGTTTAATATAAACCTTCTTGGGTGTTTAAAAATGGACTGTTTTTCATTCATGAAAGTATGCCTGTGGCATTTCCGCAATTATGTCAATTTTTTTCCTTGCTGTTGTATGGATTTTCTGTTTTTGATGGAAGATTTGTCATCAGCATCTCTAAAAGATGCCAAATTTCTGTAAGAGCACCCACTCACAGCTAGCCATTTATGATTAGAGCCACATAGAAGAAGCCTTATGGAGACACAGCTCTTGGCTCACATTAGGTAGTCTATATCCTACAGCTGGTAGTTGTTATACTCTAGAAACTTCGTTTTTGTGGCTGCCACAAACTCTATGAGATATTTACTGAAAAACTGTAGCAAAAAGTGCTGCAGGATGTCCCAGAAAAATAAAGTTTTTGCAGTTTAATAAACTTTTTCCATGTTTTTATGATATAACCAGTTTGGAAATGACATTTATAACCCTGGAACAAAGTACAATTACATAGTACAATTAGTGCTTATAAATGTATCTCTGTCCTCCTGAAGTAAGATTCTAGCAAGTTGATGTCTGCTCAACAGAGAAACTTTGGAACCGAAAGGATTTGCAATGGCTGCTTTTCTGCTCTAAAGCACCTTGTCCGCCTGTTAGGGATGCTACAGAGCTGACTTGAAAGTCAATGAAGTGGCTTGCTGGGATTGTAGAATACAGATCATATCAAGTTTGTTTCTGAAATTTCAGAGCTGCTGCTTCTACAGCTCCTGCTTATTAATTACTGTGAACTAAGTGAGCAGTAAGACTGGGCTGTAACAACTAGCCCTGAATCTGCTATATGTGTGTTACTAGTGCCAATGAAAGTCTCTAGTGCTGAAAAATTTCCAATGCATGGTGTGGTGGGTTGAGCATTAGACTAAGATGCAGGGAGCCCAGGGTTTGAATCCTTGCTCTGTCATGGAAACCTACTAGGTGACCTTGATTAAGTCACACTCAGTTTCAGAGGAAGGCAAAGACAACCCTACAAACAAATTCTGCCAAAAGAAAACTTGTGATAGGTTCACTTTAAATCAGAAACACTATAAGATCAGTGGGAGGAAGAAATTGTTAACCAATGGCAGAATTTCTTTTCTTACAGGGAATAGTAGGGCTACTATTATCCTTTGCAAGGGTAGCCATTAATGGGCCTAAAGCAGAGCTTTGTGTGAAGAGGAATGTCTTAGCTTGTGAAAGTGTCTAGTGGTATGGGTAAGTATTCTAAAGCAGTTCTGGGGAAACTGTGGCCCATGTGCAGCATATGGCTCATGGGGCTATTTTTCAGTCTTATAGCCTCCCCTTAATTTTCCATCCCTTTTTTGCCCCCAGACCTGGAGTTTGAATTTGGCCATTCTTATGCCCCCCCCCCCGCCCCCCCTCCGAGCTCATCAAAACCAAAGGCCTTTTAAAATAGAAGGCCAATAGGGGTAAAATTTGTAATTTTAATTTTATTATGTGATATTTAATGGATGTCTGCTTATGTTTCTATTGCTTTGATGTCTATGTAATTATGTTTATTTTATGTGTGGCACTTTGGAGTGCTTTGTTAGTCACCCCGAGTCCCTTCGGGAAGATGGTGGCAGGGTGCAAATAAAAATTTATTATTATGATTATTATTAAAATGCAACAAAATTGCACTCTATCCCTTGGGAGTGTTGGGAAAATGGGGGGACATTTAAAATGGTGAGAGGGGGCGCCCCTTCAAATTCCCCTGGGGTATCAACATGGCTACTTAACCCAATAGTTTTTAGTCCATTAGTTCTCCACCCTGTTCTAGACTTTGAACTTTGGGAGATGATGAGCCATTTAAATGATCAAGTCTATTACTTCATTTATGAAATATGCAGCAAATATTTCTCTTTTTCCATTCCTGTTCTTTACTATTTTGCAGATGTTTTTACATTTCTGATACGAAAAGCAAAGGGAAAAAATTAAATATAAACCTATGTACATAGTCCTTTCCCATTTGATCCTGTAATTTCAAACCTTATATTGTACTCCTATCGCTCAACTTGCTCTTTTACCCCAAAGATCCTTGAATCTCGGGTCTCAAGATGCCTATACAGGAGAGGTGCATGTGTTGAGTATGGTAAAGCATGAATGGTGTCCTTATTAATTA